ACCGATGAACCACCTCTCCAGCCCCCACACCTCAATTTTTAAAAATCCTGTTGAACTGATAGTTCAAGTTATATAGGAGTGGGAGTTATATATTTTAATTTCCAGTCAATTATTTCTTTTACCTGCTATTTATAAAAATAAGATGTAGGTGGCATATGTCTATCAATTAAAAATCACATTATAAACTAGAGAGATGATTCAAAGGGTAAGAGTGCATTATGCTCTTTCAGAGGACCCAAAATCTGTTCTCGGCATCTGATAGGCAGCTCATGGTCCAGGAGTTTCTCTTCTGACCTCCCCAGCACCTATGTGTATGTGAGCATGCATGTGTGTACACACATGCTTTTTGTTTTAGTTATATTATAAAATCCAGGTGGCTGTGATCAACCAGATTTAAGGCCTTTCATACTTTAACTCCAAGGAGAAAATTTGTTTTCTCCTGTGTCTACAGCACTTTACTGGCACAGATAATCAAGTAGTTAGGAAAAGCTATAACCAGCTGGGCGGAGGCAGAGGCAGGCGGATCTCTGTGACTTCAAGGCCAGCCTGGTCTACAGAATGAGTTCCAGGACAGCCTTCAAAACAATACAGAGAAACCCTGTCTCGAAAAACCAAAAAAAGAAAAAGCTATAACCAATAAGAATGATGAAACAGTCATAAATACAAGTGAGCCCTTGATGTAGAAAGGAGTACTGTTTGTGTGAATGGGGTATTATAAGATAAAAATAATGTATATCCAGAATTGTGTGCTTGCCTTACAGAATTGAGAGCCATCAAGTCTGACCACAGGAATGAACTCTAGTTACACAAGCCTAGATCATACAGATAGCAGGAAGATGTGGCCTTCTAATAAACTGAGTTTTTCCTAACATAAGCCATCCTTTTACTTGTGAATTCAGCTTGTTAATTATTTTGGATTTTTTTCATTTGTACTCATCCACTTCTGATTGTTGGGCTTGGGGTGGGGGCACTCATGCAAGACCATGAGAGTGGGAGAACATGAAACATCCATCCTTATCAGATCTTGCTACCAGAGTTAAATAAAATAATCAGGATTATTCCACATTTTTCCATGTAACAGCGCATTCTGAATAATGTAAGAATCATCTAGGCCTCATAGTGCTTGTGATTCCAGCACTTGGAAGCCTCTCAGGCAGAAGGACCAAGAAGAGGTCCATGCCATGAACCAGAGAGATGGCAAAAGAGGAGGCTGAGCCCCCAGGAAATTGAATGGGTGTCTAAGATCACACGACTGAAGTGGATTGTACAGGCAGGTCTTCCTCAGCCCCACCATCCTCCCCTTCACCATGTGGCCCTCCCAGAACACAAGGGGACTTTCTCAATGTTGTTTGTCTGCCTCTAGACAGGGAGACCTAATAATCTTTCTTTGTATGATGGAGCAAGCTAAGGGCTGCTTGCTCTCTTTCTTCCAGGACTTGACACACCCTAAGACCTAAACACAAAGAACTAATAGCAACCTGCAGCAGATGAAGCTGCCTTTCCACAGGGAAAGATAGGGAAATGGGAAAAAGAAGCTTTGATGGACTAGGTGATGGCCAAGGACGGGCATTCTGGGAAATGGTCCTCTGTGTGTGCACGAGTGGCGGTCATAGCAGCATGATGTCTCCAGCTGCTCTCCCCAGCCCCTGCAGCTAATGCTGCTGGGAAGCACTGGCAGTTAACTGCTTCTCTAATTCTCATTTTATTAGGCTTTAATCAAGCTTTCCTGTGAAGTGCTGCATAAATTCAATTTTGGAGTTCACAAATAATCAAATGACAGTGAAGCATCATAGGCATAAAATTGTTTTTTTCAAATGAAAATGTTATTTTTAATTTAATCATACAAAAATCATCTGGATGCAATATGTCTAAGTGGCAGAGAAATTGCTGTATTGTCTTACCACTAGCCGCAGACAGCTATTTGTACAGAGGTTAGTGGACGATTTCCCATTATTTAACTATTTTCCGTGCTCTCCATTAAACACTGACCTGGCATTTGTTAAAATGCACCACAGCCTGCGGGTAAAGGCTGATGACCTGTGTTCCACCCCTGGGATGCACATGAATGGCGGAAGGAGAGAGCCAACTTCCACCAGCTGTCTTCTCACCTCCACACATGTACTGTGTGACCTGTGGGTGCCCACACACAGTACATAAACAAATAAAATCTACCTGAGAACTCAACTCCTCTGAAAGTGTTTTCATAGGAATACTGACTGAAGGAGCTTCTGTTCAGGGCTGGTAAGATGGCTCAGAGGTTAAAAGCCTCTGCTCCTCTAGAGGTCCTGAGTTCAATTCCCAGCAACCACATGGTGGCTCACAACCATCTATAATGAGATCTGGCGACCTCTTCTGGCATGCAGGTGTACATGCAGGAGAAACACTGTATACAAAATAAATTAATTATATATATATATATATACATACATACATACATACATACATACATACATACATACAAAGAATCTTTTGTTCATTTATGTGTGGTGTTTGAAAAAGCTTTATGATAGGGGCTGGGAGTATAGATCAGTGGTATAGTACTTGCTAGCATGCTCAAGTCTCTGAGATGAATCCCCAGCACTAGAAAAACAAAAAGAAATTAAACTGTGTATGATAGGAAAAAAATGAGTGTGAGTCAACCCATAGCCTGAGTTCTAGTTTCTGGGTCAACATATCAGCTAAGCACCTTGAACCCTGTTTTTCTCGTCTGTAAAATGTATGGCTCTCCTTGACCTTCCAGGTCTACAACTGAAGAGTTTTCTCCTGCGCTTGGATATTCTCTAGACCCCAACTGTATTGACTCCCCTGAGAATGAGGTTTCTCTCTTTGCTAGATCCAGCCCAGGCGCCAGCATGTACACTAGCCTGCAGCTGCCTGGTCCCCACTGGTTGCTTGCTCTTTCATGGCACCAGTGGCAGTCAGGAGGTAGTACATCAGTATTGTCTGCACCGGGAGAACAAATGTCCAAGATGAGAGATCACTCTAGTGTCTGCTTTGTTGTCCAAAGCAGGATGCCTTGGGATCCAAACAGCCAGAGAGTCATATTTTTAATTTGCATATTATAATATTGGCTTTCATGTGTGACACTAGTATACAGGTCTATGAGTCTTAAGACATTGTAGTAAGCACTACTCTGGTCAGGAGAACTCATAATTGGAGTCATATGTGTGCAACCTTTGGAGACTGAATGCTTTCACTCAACAAGCTTGTAGAATAATCTGCATCATCAGTTTGTTCCTTCTCATTGCTGAGTATTGTTTATAGATGACTCTCAGTTTATCCATCATCTATTGGTAGGCATTCAATTACATTCACTTGGGGTCATTATAGAGCTGCTGTAAGAACCATGTATAATTCTTGTGTTAACAAAGGTTTGAGGTTTACGTTAATTAGTGTGTGTGTGTGTGTGTGTATACATACACTCATGAATGTGTGTGTCTCTGTTCTGATTTGCTTAATTTGTTCATAGTCAGTCAAGCAGGTTTTTGGTAATATCTCATTATAATTTTATTTGCCATCTCCTAAATTGCTGAGAATGTTGAACATCTCTTCATGTTCATTTGTTGTTTGTATGCCTTCTTTGGTGAAGTGATTTCCAATCATTAGTTTCTTCTAGAAGTTTTATAGTTGACATTTTATGTTTAGATCTATGGTCCATTTGAATTGAATTGTGAGGGATGTGATTTGAACAAACATTTGTTTCTGTTGGAATGTAGATGCCCAAACATCCCAGGTTGTCTGTCTCTGCTAAGTCACCTTTGCACCTTTTTGGGCAGTGCATTGGTCATAGTTGTGTGGTTGCGTTCCTGGTCTTAGTTTTCATTTCTTTGCAAAATACATTTCTTGATGACTTCAGCTTTATAGATATTATTAAAATCAGTGATGTTAGACTTCCAACCTTGCTTTTTTTTTCAAAATTTCTGTGTCTGTTTGAGTTTCCTTGACTTTCCATGGACATTTCAGAATTAGTTTTTTAATATTTACAAAAACATTTGGTCTGGGATTGTATTACATCTACAGATCAATTTGCAGAAAATTGGCATCTAAGCAGTATTGAATTTTCCAGTCTCTAAAATGTATTTTTTCTTCCTTTGTTTAGGGTTTTTCTTTTATCTGTATTGTAATCTGACTTCATCAGCATTTGATAGTTTTCAATATGTAGGCCCTACACACACACACACACACACACACACACACACACACATACACTTTGTTAGATTTTTAAATATTTCTAAGTAAAATCTGAAGATTTTAACTTTAAAAATGTCTTTGTAAAGCCCCCAGGCATTTTGCTTGTTAGTTTTTTGCTTTGTTTTTTGTTTGTTTGTTTGTTTCATTATGTATTTTTCAAATGTGTTACTGGACTCAGTTTGCTAATTGTTTTATATTCAAGCTCATGGAGGATATCAGTTTATTATTTTCTTATACTATCTTTATTTTTGGTATCAGAATGATGGTTCTTAAATTAGTTAAGTGTGTCCCTTTCTATTTTCTAGAAGAACTGTGGAGAATTGATGGTATTTCTTTAGATGTGTGGTACAACTCACTGATGAAATCATTTGGGCCTGGAATTTCTCTTGAAATATTTCTAATTAGAGATTTAATTTCTTCAACAGATACAGATCAGTCAGACTATTTGGAGGAGGGGGAGATTTAGTAGTTTGTACTTTCAAGGAAATGTTTGGTCTAAGTTGTTGAATATGCTGTTACACCTAAGGTTGTTCAAATAATCCTTTTATATGTGATGTCTTTGTGGTCTGTGGTGATAACCCCCTTGAATTCCTAGTTCTGGTAATAATGCCTCTCCATTTTTTATATTTATTTGTTTGTTTGTTTGTTTGTTTAATATCCCAGCCCACAGTTTCCCTTCCCTCCTCTTCTCCTAGCCCCTCTGTTGCCACCCTCAAGTCCATTCCTCCTCCATTTCTTTTTAAGAAAGGACAGGTTTCCCATGAGTATCAATAAAACATAATAGTTTTCTGCTTGTTCTCTCCTTGCAGTTAACTGGTCTGAGTGTCTCCAATGGAAAGGACCAACTTGTAGTATTCCATACAAAAGACAACAAAGACCTCATTGTCTGCCTCTTTAGCAAACAACCAACCCATGAGAGTCGAATTGGAGAACTTGTTGGAGTCCTGGTGAATCATTTCAAGAGGTAAAATTTTATTTTTGTAACTAAAAGATGAGCTTTAAATGCACAAAATGTTTAATCATACTTATCACTGAGCTTGTTTTGTTCCAACATGAATATATTATTATTTTCCTTCACAAGGATAAATTAGAGCATTGACTTCATAGAAGGTAAAAGTATCACCTAGCCTTAGTTTCAAGTCTAGGAATGATCCTCTGCTTTTTCAATGTCTAGCTTTGCCAACAATGAGAGGTTCCCTCATGGTTATTTCATTGCTACCAATCCAAATGTAATGTAATTCAATCCAAACAATGGAAGAAGTTATTTTATATTCTTATTGCTATTGCTTTGCATTTATCCCAAACATAATCAGCTAGTGTGTCTGCCATGACTATAAACAAATTAGAAAATTATTTAAGATAGCATGTAGGTCCATAAAGGTTGAAGAAATTCCCAAGACAAACAGAAACAATAGGACAAAAAACAGCTTATTCTGAGAAAAATTACTTTAAAGCAGATGGTATCTTAGTTAAGGGACTTGGGTTGGGTTTGAAACAATAATATAGGAAATATAGGCTGTTAAGAGCACTTTCTGCTCTTCAGAGAACCCAGACTCAATTCCCAACACCCAAACAGAGGCTCATAACCATCTGTAACTCCAGTTCCAGGGATCTGATGTTGCCTTCTGGCCTCTGTGAACACTGCACACATATGGTGCACAGACATACATGTAGGCAAAACACCCATACACATACACATAAAAATAATAAATGTTTTTTAAAAGAAATCTGGACTTCTGATTCCCCCAGGGTAATAGGGAATAGTCAGTAAATAATTTTAGGCAGGGGAGTAGAGTTTGTCAGGTTATTTGTTGAAATGTTGGAGATGGAGTTTTCTTTTCTGTAAGTGGCCATGTAGTATTGGGCAGTGTCATCTCCTAGTTTAATGTTCTCATTGTGCTATGCTGTCTTTCCTCATCCCATCTTAGTGTGAGAACAAAATCGCACAACAAAAATAAGTGGTGACAAATGGTACAGGTGTCAGCTTCTTTTCTTCCTGAAAGACATTCCCACATTCTCAGAAATGCCCAGAGATTCTTGCCTGTGTTATACCTGTATCTACAAATTCTACTGTCTTTGTTTTTGCTGGCAAATGTATGTAGTGTAATGAAAACAGCCTATTTTGTTTGAGACAAAATTCTCTATGTAGACCAGACTGACTTCAAATTCACAGAGATCCACCTGCCCCTGGCTCCTAGGCACACTATTGTTATTAAACCTTGTATTCTAAAAGAAAATGGGTTTTTAAATATTTTACATTTAAATATTTATATATCTTATTAATTATGCTTAGTGGTCATCTGGTAGAAAAATAGAATGTAGAGAATTGATTTTTAAAAAGTCAGTAAATATGTAGGCTTTTATGATGGTTCATCCATATTTTCAGCTTGACCTGACTGAGAGATGCCTAAGACTTTAACAAAGCACACTGCCTGGGTATCTGAGAGAACATTCCCAGAGACAGTTAGCATGTGGAACAGTAGCTGAAAAGAAAGAGCCTGGCTCTGAGTGTGGCTAGCATCATCCAATAGGCTGGGGGCCCAGATGAACTCCCTGCATCTGCCAAAGAACTGTAAAGCTAGGAAACGTACCAGAGAGTTTAGAATGGAAAGCTCTAACAGAAGCCTCTGCAGTAAACATCCATAACTCACACAAGCAGGCTTGTTTTCATGCAAATATGTAGTCATAGCAAAGCATGGACAATAGAAGTCTTCAGGGCTCACTGTCTCTTACTTGAAGACTTGTACTAATGAATGCAGTCAGTTTTGCCTGAGGAATTGAAGTATTGTTGTCCCAGTCTGAGTTCTTGTTTAGTAAATTCCAACCCACATTGAATGTCTTCTCCCCATGATAGAATTCAAACCTGTCTGTGGCTGTCTTCTAGCATGCAGATACATTCCTGGGTGTGTGCCTCCTACTTGTAACTAAGAAAGAATTTGTGATTTCTTCAGAATTCCTAGATGTAAGGAGAAGAAAGTTGACAAGACGGTAGGACTTTTTTCCAAGTTATTCTTTGTTTCTGTCTTCTGAACTTGGAGATGAATTAGTAATAAAGTACTAATCTCTCTTTCCTAAAACCAGAAAAAAAGTCAACTTAGAGTTATAATCAACAACCTGCTACTTATTTGATGAGGAAAAATTATTTTTTTCTGGCCATTGTCCTTTATTGTCAGGTCTTTTATCACTGTTGAGATCATCACAGTTCATGGTGTGTTTTACAAGCATAATGGCGTGGCATGTAATCTTACACCTACATTAATGATGGAAATCTAGAGGGCAAAGGGCTTGGGTTCTTGACAACTCTTCATTTTCTAGATTTTTTTTCCTAAAGTGCATTCTGAGAAGTTCTATTCAGAGAGAAAGCAGCTCAAAACTGCACAACATGCAAGTCCATAGACCAGTGAGGTTGTAACATTAGAGTGCAAGGAGGCAAGTCCATTTGGAAGCTCGCTCTACCTATATACTCGCCATATTGAAGGAGAAAAGGGTTCCACCTTCTCAGCAGAAGACAAAAGTACTATTCATAAAAAGCAGTACTCACCACAGATGAGCAGCACCCAAAGTGAGGAAGCAAGGAATGGGCCAAGGAGAAAAACAAAAAGCAGACTGATAGCTGCACATCAGAGCCAGCTGAACAGAAGTGGTCACATGGCCACCACCTAACAGTGCGATGGCCAAAGGCACTTTCTTGTCATACTGACCCCAATGACAAAGAGCACATACAAGTTCAGGGAAGGACGGCCTGAGCAGAGGACATGGCAGAGGCTAATGAGAGGCCCTAACCCAAGTTGAAACTACAGCACCCCCTAGCTGAGTAACTTCTTCCCTCAAGAGCTATGCTTGAGCAAGTCACTTTCCCATGAAAGACAAGTAAGATGCCAGATGGAAACAGCAGAAGATGTGTGCAAAGAAAATAAGCAAAGGCAGACAGACAGGAGGGGGGATCAAGAGTGAGAGCCAGGCATAGTGTCACACGCCTTTAATCCCAGCACTCAGTAGGCAGAGGCAGGCGGACATCTGTGATTTCAGTGCTAGCCTGATGAACATAGAAGACCATCCAGAGCTACACAGAGGCCCTGTCTCAAAAAAAAAAGCAAAGAGCAATGAAAAAAAGACAAGGGCAAGGTATAGTGACATGAACTAGGATTAGACCTCTACAGCCCTGCCTTAAATCACAACCAAAAATAAACAAATAAAATACATGAGAAAACATTTTCAGGGCTGGAGAGATTGGTCAGTGGTTAAGAATACCGGTTGTTCTTCCAGAGGACTCAGATTTAATTCCTAGCACCCACATTGCATTTCACAACTATCTGTAACTCCAGTTCTTGACACCCTCACACAGACATACATGAAGGCAAAACACCAAATGCACATAAAATAAAAATAAATCTAAAAAATTTTTTTCAAGACCTAGAACATCAGGCAAGGACAGGCAGTGCTTGAAAACAACGGGAGGCCTGCTGGGCAGAGTCACTAGGCCATGGCACACACAGGGAACCCAGGTAGAACACAGTATTCTCCCTGAGGCTATGTGATGCCTGAGGAGTCTAGGCCACCAAGTCTGAAGATCAAAGTGCCAGAGAGAAGAGGCAATCAGAGACCCCTAAAGATCCCCCTAAGCACTCCCAAACAGCTAATGTGTATGTGAGGAGAGAACCCTCATAGGTAGGGAATGGTAACCAGGTGAGTGCCAGGGACAACAAAGGTCCTTTCAAGGCACACTGGGCACCGCAGCATTACAGGCATTTGTATTAGGACTCAGGAAGATCTGGCATCAGGAGGAGAAACAATAATTGGCCCTAGGATCAATCAGTGCTTTTATAGAAAATATTGTCCAGTAAATCTTCAAAGCTAAGCCCACCTGCTTCCATAGAATATATCCTGGGGCAAATCTCATGAGGTTTGCTTTGTTTCGTTATGTTATGTTAGTTTTTCGAGTCAGGGTTTCTCTCTGTAACAGCCTTGATTGTCCTGGAACTCTCTTTATAGACCAAGCTGGCTCGAACTCACAGAGATCTGCCTGCTTCTGCCTCCCAAATGCTGGGATTAAAAGCTTGTGACACTATGTCCTGCATGAATATATACAAGAACCCAAAATTTTTCACAGTCAGTAAGGTAGAATTCACAATGTCTGACATCCAATCAAAAATTATCAGGCATACAAATGGTAAGAATACACAACTCATTATTTCAGACATTTATGAGTTAACTTGAGGCAGAAGGCTTTATAAAAACAAGGGCTAAGTAAATTTAGTAAGTTGATCTCCATCACCATCTTCTTGGGTGAGCTGGAGCCAGACAGGTCCTGGCACTTCCTCCCATGAGATTCCTGAAACTAACCCCATCTCAGTATAGGTAAGCCTGTCTTCTCATCTCCTGCAGTGCTCACTGTACCTGTACCTGTAATCACTGAGCGTGCACCACCTGTTTGTCACATACTCTAAAGCATCTGAAGACAGTGAGTGAAGAGGGCGGGGCATGGACTCACACAGGCTAAGCACATGCTCTCCCACTAACTTCACCCCTTGCCCAGAAGACAGTCTTCAGTAAAGTGTTTTCTAGAAGGTGACACTCAGATTATGCAGGGCCAAGGATGTAATTTGGGACTTCCAATAGTTCAACTCCTAGAACACACACATGCACCAAAAAAATTATTATTTAATAGATAACCAGTATGGCTCAAGTATTAGAACAGACACCACCAGAAACATCCGAGAGAACCGTGTCAGCTGGTGCTGACTGTAGTCCACAGATGAGAGGTCTCACCCAGACCAGCAAAGACCTAAAATCAGATGTGTCTGGGAGGTGCCAGTGAACATACTGGGTTTGCCTCCCGCAGTACTTCTCAGTACCTTTGTTGTCACATGAAACCAGCAGGACAACAAGAGCTTCATCTGTTGGTACGAAGCCATTTCTAAAGTAGGGAGGCAAAGCAATGTGCAAAATGATGTGTGTGGCCAG